TCTGATGTAGTCTTGCCATGCCAACTGATTTGGAGTATTATTGTCATGTTTTCCCAGTTAAACTCTTGCCAATTCTCCCCGTGAACTAGCAAGCAGCGTGAACACAAGGAAACGACTAAGTGAACGAACGCAGAGATCACACGAGCACCCGTGCCTAGCCCGTAGTCTAGCTCCCGTGGCAGCAGTTATCTCCGCAAGGCTGTGATCTATGTAGGGGCCATGGCTACACAGGAGCTACGCTGGCTCACCTACCTTCTGACCAACCTGGGCGAGGCGCCTCGTTCTCCTCCAGTTCTGTACGTCGACAACAAGGCAATGCTTGCCTTGTGTCGCGAGCAGAGACTGGAGCACAGAACGAAGCACATCGCTTTTCGCTACTTCCATGCTCGAGAGTTGCAGCAGCATTGTCAGCTTTGTCTTGTTTACATGGCCTCTCAGGTCAACACTGCTGATATCTTCACCAAGGCGCTTCAGCCTTGTGATCATCAGTGGTTCTGTACTGTTCTAGGCCTTGCGCCCACTTGGCCTCACTTGCTCACTTCTTGACTTTGCTTGTACTGTGATCTCTATATATATATCTGCATGCTTACACTTGCTAGGTTGTGATCAGTGTCTTGCTTGTTCTGCTTTATATAACTCTGCATGTGAACGGGCCTTGTGGCCGTTTGCTTGTGCTCGGAATGCGTGGTGACGTTGTGATCCACCCTGAGCTTGCTTTGCTCTTCTTGACTGGTCTTGTGACCTCTTGTTCTCCCCCACTTTGCGTATGGGGGTGTGTCAAACTTATGTGCTATAGTTTGTGTAGGCTGCGGGGTAGACAATATAGGGTACAACATTTTTAGGTTTACTTCTAGTACCCACCTCTTTCCTAATCCAATCCATTCACTCGTACTATTCTGACAGTTTCTTCTACCACCCAGCTTTGGGGGGGGGGGAAATGTGAGAGGAGGTCCCCGTTATAATATTTTCTCATTATTATGTTTTCCCGTATATTATTCTCCCCTTTCTCCTCTTTATTTTGGTCATTACTTCATCTCAATCGGCCTACTATTATACTTTCTAAAGCCTTCTATTTTTTTTCTCTTCTTTCCTACTTTCCCCATTGACATATCTATTATACGGCTCTGATAGTGCCGATAGTTGTGTATACGGTGTAATCTGAGCATAATCCCAAGTGCGAATAGCCTTGCGTGCTTGTGCGCCCTTGTGATTGTAGTATTGGGAAAGGGTGTGTTCCCGAAGGTTCGTTTTATCTCGTTTATCCTTGTATTTTCCGAGTATAAAAACGCCTTCTATTCAGTTTTAGTGACAAGTTTCGATTGAGAATTCGATCCTGTGACAGTGCCGATGAATCTGCTGCGCCGTGGCGGCTGCTGACTGGTTTCCGAGATGCTCCTCTATTCGTTGGAGTGTCGTTCGCGTCTGGTCCAGGTCAGTGTGTAACTCTGTAAGTTTTCGTACAGAATTATCACCATTTTCCTCCATTTGGCAATTTACATGCGTGACGACTTACTACGGGTTGAACCGACAGTAGAATTGACGAGCGCTGATTCTGTACGTTGCGAAAATCCCCCTTAGTTCAAAATCACGTTTGATCACAGCCATTGAGAAGAAATTCGATTCGATGCTCCAACTTTTTGGGGCTTATTTCTTAGGGTCGTTGAGATTCGAGTGGATCCGACGGTCGAAATTCCAACCTTACCGCCAATAATTATAAGGAATGTTTGAAAACTGCTTCGAAGGGGACTTTAAAAAATAGCGCGGAACTGGTTTTACATACTCGAAATCGGCGCTTTCGCTGTCACCCTCGCAGTTATAAAAGCTAGGTTTTAGCGGTTGAAGACTTCGCGTGTAAAGGAACTCTGATTACCAAGTGTGAGGATCGAGGATCTAGTTCAAAATAAAGAATATGAATTGATTGATTCACCCAGTGCTCGAGCAGCAGCTTAGGCTACCGCCAGCGCACCAGCAACAGTTTAGGCTGCCCCTAGCAGAACCAGGAGCATCATAGGCTGCCCCGGGCGCACAACAGCAGCTTAGGCTTACCCCGGCAGAACCAACACCAGCATGGGCCGCCTCCAGTGCACCAGCACGTGTTTTTGCTGCCCCCAGCCGAACCAGCAGCAGCATTGGCTGCCCCCAGCCAAACCAGCAGCAGCATAGGCTGCCCCCAGCCGAACCAGCAGCAGCATTGGCTGCCCCCCAGCAGAATCAGCATCACCTTAGGCTGGCGCCAGCAGCACCAGCAGCCATGTAGGCAACATGCTAGAACCAACCCCGTTTCTAGCCCCTCACATGGCGTGTACTAGGGTTCTACAGCAGCAGGGCCAGCCGCAGCACTCCCAATAGTGGGGACCTGGGGGTCCAAAGTATGGCACCCCCAGCAGTGGGCGAGACGTCGGACCCTGATAGTCCCTGGTGTTGGCAAGACGTCGGCCCCTGACCACTCTCTGTATCCCTGCTACCGTCACCTCGTCGACCTCCACCGTGAGCATTCTGGTCCTCACGCTATTACACTGCACTGGCCCTCACGTTTTTGCCTGCGCACTGATGCACCAGTTGAGTCTCACCTACCTGGTCTAGGACTTTTCCCGGCTACACGAGTAGAGACCTGTGTTTTTATTCTTGGTGCATGTGTAGTTTCCAGTCCAAGAGCCGTTAAGGGTCTTTGTGTGGGAGCTGCAACTACCACTAGTCTAGCACCAGCCTTTGTCGCAATTGTACTGACCTCACCCACTGCGCACTTCAGTCACAGTGATCATTCGTTACCACCTACCACTAGTAATGTTGCCTCGACTGCCCCCTACCCCCGTACTAGCGTACCATTTTTATGTGAGGACAGTGGCCGCAGCATCAGCGGTGGCCACAGTAGCAGCAGTGCCCACAGCAACAGTAGTGGCCACCACAGCAGTGGCCGCAGCAGCAGCCGTGGCCGCAACACCTGTGGCTACAGCATCAGGAATGGCCACCGCAGCAGCAGCTGTTGCGAGTTTAGCAGCAGTGCCAGTGGCAGCCTCCACCGCGGGGCCTTGTCGGACCCGGCCTGTACACACACCAGTACGTGGGAGCTGCAACTAGGGTTGAGACTTGTGATTCCACTCTTGGTGCTTGTGTAGTTTTCAGTCCAGGCGCCTCAGAGGTTCTTAGTGTGGGAGCTGCAGCTATCACTACTCTAGTACCAGCCTTTGTTGCTGGCTTGGGTGCGACCTCACCGACTGCACAGCTTTCCTTCACCCTAGACTCTGGAGCGTCCGGCTGTTAATTTCGCGACTGCACCGACCTCACGCCACTGCACACTCCATTCTCTGTCGCCTTGGCTGACCCCTCCTTGGGATCTGTAGTTGCCCACAGCACCACCATTCTCCCATGTCCGACGGCTCCCTCTTGGTTTCGCACAGGTTACTACACCCCTCGTTTTCTAGGAACTTAGTGGTGTGAGTCACTTCCACGATGTGAGAGTACGACGATTTTGCTGGACAGTACTTGCTTCATTCTGCATTATTACGCATTATCTAGCTGTGAAAAAACGAGGAATGATTGACTATGGGAAAGGTTGGGTACAAGTACAAACCCTAGAAATGTGTTGTACCCCATATGTGCTAACCCACTATAGCCTACATAGGCTAAGTCATATAAGTCTGACACACCCCCATAGGCAAAGTGGGGGAGAACAAGGGGTCACAAGACCAGTCAAGAAAAGCAAAGCAAGCTCAGGGTGGATCACAACGTCGCCACACATTCCGAGCACAAGCTCAAGGCCACAAGGCCAGTTCACATGCAAGATCATTTATAAAGGTAAACAAGCAAGTGCAGGTATAGAAAGATCACAGTACAAGCAAGATAAAAAAGTGAGCAAGTGAGGCCAAGTAGGCACAAGACCTAGCATCGTACAACAACACTGATGATCACAAGGCGGAAGTGCCTTGGTAAAGATATCAGCAGTGTTGGCCTCAGAGGCCACGTAAGCAAGGCGCAGCTGACCACGCTGCTGCAGCTCACGAGCAAGGAAGTAGCGGAGAGCAATGTGCTTCGTTCTATGCTCCAGTCAGCCCAAGAAGCGTCTCCGTGACTTGTGAGGACCACTTAACGCCGCCCTCCAAGCACTAGCCCCATGCCCGACGTACTGCACAAGTAGCGCAACACCCTCTTCGCTGCAGCCATGTGCTCTGGTCGGTGTCTCCCAGGAGCAACATAGCGTGCCAAGATGCTAAGAGGGTATGCAAGGTCAGGTCGTGTGCAGGTCATCAGGTACATGAGGCAGCCAACAAGCTCTGGGTACGGGCCACTCGACTCTACGGACTCATCCGAAGACAGAGCTGAGAGCGAGTGGCGAGTAGACAGAGGAGTGGCCTGAGGCGAGGAGTACGTGAAGTTGAAGCGCTGAAGGACCTGCTGCACCATGTGTGACTGAGTTGGAGTAATGGTGCGCTTTGCTCTGTCCCGGGTGATCTACAAGCCAAGGTAGCTGCGCAGTTCACCCAGGTCTGTGCACGTGTGTCTCTTCTGTAGCTCCGACTTCATGTGGGCGAGTCCAGCAGTGTCAGCAGTGGCAAAGACCAAGTCGTCGACGTACACGAGGATGTAGAACGGCGGCAAAGAGGTGTAAGTGCGCAGAAACAGTGACAGGTCGGCAGTAGAAGGAGCAAACCCAAGAGCCGCAAGTGTAGTCCTTAGTGTGTCGTGCCACTCACGAGGCGCCTGGCGGAGACCGTAGACTGGCCGCCGGAGGCTCCACTGGGTACCAGGAGGAAACAACCTAGTGAAGCCAGGTGGGTGGCGCAGCCAGATCTCCTCGTGCAGGCTGCCCTGCAAGAAAGCTGTATTGAAGTCAAGAGAGTGAAGCTCGTAGTCGCGCTGAGCGGCTATGTGCAGCAGCACCCGACGAGTGGTCATCTTCGGGGTGGGAGAGAAGGTCTGAAAGTAGTCAACTCCCTGCCGCTGACTGAAGCCTCGAGCCACGTAACGCGCCTTGAATACAGGTGGAGAACCCAGCGGCCGCTTCACCCTGAAAATCCACATGCCACTAACGATGTTCGCCCAGGTGGGGGAACCTCGTCGACGTAGGTGCCTGTGGACTTCCACGAAGCCATCTCTGCGTCCATGGCTGTCTGCCATTGTGAGGAGTAGGGACCCTCGATCGCCTCCGCGTACGATCGAGGAGTCGGGATGTCTGATGCAATCAGCGTGGACACGAGATGAGACAAAGCAGCAGCAAAACACTGGAACTCCTCCCGCCTGTCCTCAAGGACGTCCATGCTAGGAGCACACTCACCCCTAATGGACGGAGGACAGACAGACTCAGACTCAGCAACAAGACTAGCGGCGTAGTCTAGACGACAGCGAGCAGCAAAGTTGACAAGCTTAGCAACTAAGGCAGACGCAGCAGTGGACTCAAAGGAAGGGTCAGTGATAACAGTAGCCAGGAGATGCGTGACAGTAGGACTGGCAGCACGAAGAGAGTCAGACTCCGGGTCAGCAAGAACAGGAAGAGAGGACTCTGGAGGAGACGGCAACGGGACACGCAGAGGAGCAGTGGAAGGACACAATGCCATCTGGTATGTGCCTGGGACAGCAGGAGGACGCGGACGCGGAGCACGACTACTAGTGCGAGCAGCACGAACAGGCGACGCAGGACGAGACGCAGGCTTACGACGCTCAGCAAGACCTCCAGTAGGACCAATCTAGGGAGAAGGACCAGGCAGGGGGGAGGCGGGCAGTAACTGTGACTGCGACTGGACAGGCTGTGGACACTCTAAGGGAGGCGCAGGACCAGAAGAAGGCGGAAGACCAAGAACCTGCTCAAGGAGCGGAACGAAGTACGGCCGCGGCCGCGCATCGCCTCCAGAATTAGCAGGGACAGCACAAGTACCCCCACCGGCAGCACCAGCGCCAGCAGCACCTCCAGCTCCAAGAGCGCTAACTCCAGCACCCTCAGAAGCACCAGCGCCAGCAGCACCTCCAGCGCCAGCACCCCCAGCAGCTCCAGCTCGAGCAACTCCAACTCCAGCAGGACCACCAGCTCTAGTACCGCCAGCAGCTCCAGCACCAGGAGCATCTCCAGGCCCAGTAGCTCTAGTACCTCCAGTACCTCCAGCAGCACCAGCTCCAACAGCCCCAGCAGCACCCCCATTCCCAGCAGCTCCAGTACCGCCAGTACGAGCACCTCCAGGACCAGTGGCCCCAGTAACTCCAGTGCCGACCCCAGGGTCAGCAGCAACAGTAGCACCTCTAGCTCCAGCAGCACGGCTCCAGCGCCGGGCAAACTATTCGCGCAGCTCCATTGGAGAGGGTAGCTCCCGCCTCGACAAAGCACCCGAAGGGCCCCCAAACCAAGCACCCCCAGAGGCCACACGAGCAGACCCAGCACCCCCAGGCTCCGCACCCCCAGGCTCAGCACCCCCAGTCTCCGTACCCCCAGGCTCAGGACCCCCAGGCTCCGCACCACCAGGCTCCACACCCCCAGGCTCAGCACCCCCAGACTCAGCACCCCCAGGCTCAGCACCCCCAGGCTCAGCACCCCTAGCAGCACCAGAGTCAACAGCTACCTCGACAGGCTTGACTGCGTCTACCTGGGACACACCTGACAGGCCAGGACCCTGAGGGGGGAGAGGGTCTTACGGGGGGGGGACCTGGCGCAAGGAAGAGCGGCGGCGGGGGGAGGGGCGCAGTGCGGTAGGGGAAGAGACGGTAGTAAGGCACCGACTCGTCAAAGGTGACGACCTGGGAGGACAGAACACGGCGCGAGGTGGGGTGGTAAAACTGCCAACCAGGCGCGTCAGGGGGGAAGCCAAGGAAGACGCAGGGAACAGCACGGGGGGACAGCTTGTGCGCAGACAAGTCGCGGACAAACGCCCGAGATCCCCAGACACGAAACGCAGACGCATCGCCAACCTTCCCCGTCCACCGCAGGGTGGGGGAGGTCTCTGGCAAGGAGACCCGGGGCTGAAGGTTGATCTGATGCGCTGCGTACTGAACCGCAAACGGCCACAGAAAATGGGGAGCAGCCGCATGGATCATGGACGTACGAGCGACGTCCATGACCATGCCAATGCGGCGCTCAGCAATCTCATTTTGCTGTTGAGAGGCCGGAAGCGTGAAGGTCTGGCGGATGCCCTGTGCACGACAGAAGGCTCCCAGAAGGGCAGAGGAAAACTCCCCGCCTCTATCCGAGTGCAGACGCAGAACAGGGAAGCCCGAGCCGAAACTCTCTCTGAGCTGGAGACGAGCTGCGCGGATCCAGTCGATCAACACCTCAGTGACATCACCCTTGCTGCGCAAGGGGAACACCGTGGTGTAACGCGAGTAGTCGTCAACCACCAACAGGAAGTAACGCTCGTGACCCTGGCCACGGACGCGGGCGGGGCCCCACACGTCCATATGAAGAGTCTGCAGTGGAGCCTCTGTCGGAGGAAACTCGGAGAAGTGAGGGGCGGCGCGCTGCTGCCCCTCGACGCAGGGAACGCGGGTAGGGGCAGGCCCCGGAGGGAGGGGAGGGAGGGACCGGGGGAGACCAGAGACAAGGTAACGGGAGGCCATGCCTCAGAGACGAGGCAGGGAGGGGTGACCAAGGCGGTGGTGCCAGAGGAGAGTCTGGTGGGACAGGAGACGACACGAGCAGGGAGCAGACTCAGGACCAGACCTGGACGCTGCAGCAAACACCTGACTCGACGCAGCTACCTGACCAGACTCAGCAACCGGAGGAGACTCAGTAGTCAGTGTGTACAGGCTCGACCCTGGCTGACGGGTAAACGTGGCCAAGTGTTGGCCCGTCCGAGCACACGTACAGTGGGTCACCCGCTGACTCGCAGGAGTGAACTGGTCAACCCCCCCATCCTGTAGATCAGCACCACTCACCAAGTTCGTAGAGAAGGAGGGGAGGTAGAGACCTGACAGGGTGCCAGAGGGGGCCGTCGGACACGGTAAGATAGAGGAGAAGTGGGCAAGGACAGGACCCCTAGAGGGGTCCCCCAGGGAGACCGCAACTGGCCGACTAAGCGGCGTAAGCGAGGTGCGGTCTCGAAAGGCCTGAGTCAAGGGTGAAGGTGTGTAAGGCCTGAGCCGACATGGTACCTGAGAGAGCAGACTCACCAGCACCTGGGGCAGCAAACGCACTAGCACCGAGAGCAGCAGCCTCACCAGCACCTAGAGCAGCAGCCTCAATTCCCGGGTCAGGCGGAACACACAGGTAAGAGTCACCCTCATCACTAGTAGACACAACATACATGGAAGGAAGAACGGCATCATAATCTAGATCAAAGATAGCAACCCCCGACCTAAGCAGCTCGCCCCAGCGGGGGATCTCAGTGGCGTCAGGGAACTTGAGACGCCAAGCGTCCGTCAGGCGGCCGAAGCAGCGCTGGGTGGTGTGCGGGCCACCGCACGGCTCACCAGTGAGGTCGCCGGTACGCAGGACGTAGGCACAAGGACCAGCACCCCCACCCCGCTGACGCGCAGCGTACCACTCACGAAGCTGCTGGGGGGGCGGGGTCTCACGAGTGCGCTGCTGCTGCTGGCACTGACCACCACCAAAGCCGCCCCGCTGTGCAGAGCCACCCCGACCAGCTCCACCTCAGCCGCCGCCACCTCCGCCACCGCCGCCACCGCCTCCTGCTCCGCTCCCACCGCCACCGCCGCCGCCGCCTCCGCCTCCACCGCCTCCACCGAAGCCCCCACCCCCGCCACCACTCCCACCGCCACCCCCACTCCCTCCGCCGCCTCCACCGCCACCTCCACCGCCCCCGCCAGCCCCTTCAGCGCCCTTGCCCCCCTTGCCCTTGCCGGTGCGGCGTCTCCCGCTAGGGGCAGACGCAGCGCCGTCTGACTTGGTGCCAACGAAGTCGACGGCAGCAGCAGAGGCAACAGAGGGCAAAAGGGGGGAGGGGGAGCACCCCTCAAAGAAGGGGGCACGAGGGTCACCACGAGAGGCTCCTACAGCGACTATACTCTTCTCAGCTGCCAGGAGGCGCTCCTCGAGGAGGTCAATGGTGAGTGTGGCGGCGCAGTTCGGTTCGGGTCGCGCGGCTCGGCTCGGGTCGCGCGGCTCGGCTCGGGTCGCGCGGCTCGGTTCGGTCCTGGGCGGCTTGGTTCGGTCCTGGGCTGTGGCGGTCACGGGCCGTTCGGGGCCTCTAGGGGCGGTGAGCGCGGGGCCGACGGGGCCGTTTGGGGCCTCTAGGGAGGTGAGCGCGGGGTCGTAAAGGGGCCTCTAGGGGCCGACGGGGCCGTTCGGGGCCTCTAGGGAGGTGAGCGCGGGGCCGACGGGGCCGTAAGGGGCCTCTAGGGAGGTGAGCGCGGGGCCGACGGGGCCTTTTGGGGCCTCTAGGGAGATGATCGCGGGGCCGTAAAGGGGCGAGTGCGGGGCCGTAAGGGGCAAGCGCGTGGGCCAACGGGGCCTTAAGGGGCGGGTCACGGGTCGCTAAGGGGCGGGTCGCGGGTCGCGGGGCCTTAGAGGGCCGTGAAAACCGAGGCGCCCTAGGGCGCAGGTAGGTAGGTAGTGGTGGGCCCTAAAAAAATCGGTCCTAGGAAGGACCTGCTCTAATACCATGTTGAAATGAATAAACAGGAATCGATGAACTAACAGTGAAAACAGTACAAGTACCTAACCCTAGAATTGTGTACCCCCTATAGGCTAACCTTGTAGCCTAAATAAGCAGAACATATATAATGCTTGACACGAGATCGACTGGGTCAACAGGAAGGCGTGCATCTACAACAACGGGAAACGAGTGGAGCTGAGAAGCTGGACGGATACAGGGAGCGTTCCTGAAACGACACTGGCACGGTTCGAACGGACTGTGAACGAGAGTAACACGGGATACTTAGCACTGGTTATGGCAGCAGCATAGGAGGAGAAGCCGAGTTCAGAGCTACCTGCAGCAGTAAAGGAGGTGTTGGCGCAGTACAAGGATATAATGCCTGACGACCTACCCGCAGGCGTACCTCCAGCACGCACCCACGAGCACGAGATCGTGGAGGAACCAGGTGCGAAACCCGTCTCACGTGCACCATACCGACTGAGTCCGACCGAGCTGACAGACATGAAGAAACAGATAGAGTATCTACTGGACAGACAACTGATCCGCCCATCCACCTCTCCCTACGGTGCACCAGTCTTCTTCACTCCAAAACCAGAAGGTAGTTTACGGATGTGCATCGACTACCGCGCACTGAACAAACAGACAGTTAAAAACAAATACCCCATACCGCGCATAGACGACCTACTGGACCAACTGCGTGGAGCAACAGTATTCTCAAAGCTAGACCTACGGTCGGGATACTGGCAGATCAAGATGGTGGACAACTCGATCCACAAGACGGCGTTCCGTACCAGATACGGCTCCTACGAATAATTGGTGATGCCGTTCGGACTCTGCAACGCACCAGCAACGTTTCAGGCGGAGACGAATCACGTCTTACGACCCCTATTGGACGAGTGCGTGGTGGTGTACCTGGACGACATTCTCATCTACTCCAAGAACATGAAGGAGCACGTGGAGCTGAGAAGAAACGAGAATGGATGACTAAGGAATGAAAGTGATACAAGTATGCAACCCTAGCATTGTGTACCCCATATAAGCTACCCCACTACAGCCTACACAACATTATAATTTGACACACCCCCATAGGCAAAGTGGGGGAGAACAAGGGGTCACAAGACCAGACAAGCAAAGCAAAGCAAGCTCAGGGTGGATCACAAAGTCACCACACATTCCGAGCACAAGTTCAAGGCCACAAGGCCAGTTCACATGCAGGAGTACATATATATATTAAAGGCTAGACAAGCAAGAGCAGGTGTAAGTATATGTAACAGTACAAGCAAGGTCAAGAGGTGAGCAAGTGACGCAAGACAAGCACAAGACCAAGCAGAGTACAGAAGCGCTGATGATCACAAGGCGCAAGTGCCTTGGTGAAGATATCAGCAGTGTTGGCCTCAGAGGCCACGTACACAAGACGCAGCTGACCACGCTGCTGCAGCTTACGAGCAAGGAAGTAGCGAAGAGCAAAGTGCTTTGTTCTGTGCTCCAGTCTCTGCTCTTGACACAAGGTAAGCATGGCCTTGTTGTCTACGTACAGCACTGGAGTAGAACGAGGCACCTCTCCAAAGTCAGACAGCAGGTAGGTGAGCCAGCGAAGCTCCTGTGCAGCCATGGCCCCCGCGTAGATCTCTGCCTCACAACTAGAGCCGAGAACAGAAGACGAGCGGGTAGCCCGCCACGAAACAGAGCCGGAACCAAGACTGAAGGTGTAACCCTGTGACGACCGCTGCGTAGCCTGGTCGTCCGCCCAAGAAGCGTCTACGTGCCCAGTAAGGACCACTGGACTCCGCCCTCCAAGCACAAGCCCCATGCCCGACATACTGCACAAGTAGCGCAACACCCTCTTCGCTGCAACCATGCGCTCCGGTCTGTGTCTCCCAGGAGCAACATAGCGTGCAAGAATGCTAAGAGGGTATGCAAGGTCAGGTCGAGTGCAGGTCATCAGGTACATGAGGCAGCCAACAAGCTCTGGGTACGGGCCACTCGACTCTACGGACTCATCCGAAGGCAGAGCTGAGAGCGAGTGGCGAGTAGGCAGAGGAGTGGCCTGAGGCGAGGAGTACGTGAAGCCGAAGCGCTGAAGGACCTGCTGCACCATGTGTGACTGAGTCAGGGTAATGGTGCGGCGTGCTCTGTCTCGGGTGATCTACAAGCCAAGGTAGCTGCGCAGTTCACCCAGGTCTGTGCACGTGTGTCTCTTCTGCAGCTCGGACTTCACGTGAGCGAGTCCAGCAGTGTCAGCTGTGGCAAAGACCAAGTCGTCGACGTACACGAGGATGTAGAACGGAGGCAAAGAAGTGTCGGTGCGTAGAAACAGCGACGGGTCGGCAGTAGAGGGAGCAAACCCAAGAGCCGCAAGCGTAGTCCTCAGTGTGTCGTGCCACTCACGCGGTGCCTGGTGGAGACCGTAGACTGGCCGCCGGAAGCTCCATTCGGTGCCAGGAGGAAAAGTCCCAGTGAAGCCAGGTGGGCGGCGCAGCCAGATCTCCTCGTGCAGGCTGCCCTGCAAGAAAGCAGTGCTGAAGTCAAGAGAGTGGAGCTCGTAGTCGCGCTGAGCGGCTATGTGCAGCAGTACCCGAAGAGTGGTCATCTTCGGGGTGGGAGAGAAGGTCTGAAAGTAGTCAACTCCCTGCCGCTGACTGAAGCCACGAGCCACGTACCGCGCCTTGAAGACAGGCGGGGAACCCGGCGGCCGCTTCACCCTGAAAATCCACATGCCATTGACGATGTTCGCCCCAGGTGGGGGAACCTCGTCAACGTAGGTGCCTGTGGACTTCCAGGAAGCGATCTTTGCGTCCATAGCTGCCTGCCACTGAGAGGAGTAGGGACCCTCTATCGCCTCCGCGTAAGAGCGCAGAGTCGGGATGTTAAGTGCATCCGGGTCTCCCTCAGGGGTAAGCAGTACGGACACAAGATGAGGTGAAGCAGCAGCCAGACACTGGAACTCCTCCTGCCTGTCCTCAAGGACGTCTGTGCCAAGGGCACACTCACCCCCGATGGACG